CAGGCAGCAGCTCAGGAAATCAGAGTCGGAGGTGGAGGTGAGTGTGGTGTCAGCCGTGCCCGGTGCTGGACCTCGCTCCCCAGCCAGTGGTGCCCAGAGCATGTGGAGGGTGCCTGGGGGGTGTTGGGTCTCAGCCTCCCCCCGTCCCCGCAGGAGGCTGCTGCCATCATCGCTCAGCGGCCCGACAACCCCCGGGACTTCTTCAAGCAGCAGGAGCGGGTGGCATCGGGCAGCAGCGACGCCATCTCACCGGGCAGCCACAGGACAGGTGAGGGGCTGGGGGGGCTGCGGGCACCAGGGGGGCACAGAGACCCCCAGGGGAGCAGGTGAGTGTGGGATCTGGGGGGGGGATCTGTGATGTGGGGAGGGGGTGTCCCCTCTGCTGTCCCCAGCGCCATGGTTGTGGGTGCCATGGGCACAAGGATGGCACGGTGTCATCCTGCTCTGCTGTGCCGCCATCACCACCACTGCCACCACACCTCATGTGGCCCCTGCAGCCGGGGCAGCTTGGCAGGGGCTGGATGTCAGTGTCTTCAGCAAGGGGGGGCTCATCCTGCTCCTTGCTGGGTGTCGTCCATTCACCCTTCATGGCACCGTGCTGGCAGCCAGGTTGGCAGCGTGGTCGGTGCGGCTGGGGTTCGGGGTGGCTTGGGAGCTCATCCCATGGGGGCAGCTATGAGAGTAAGTGGGGCACCTGGTGTGCTCCTGGCTGGCAGGGAGTGACCCATAGAGAGGCTGGGCTGCCCCACAGTGAGGGGTCCAGCCCTGGGCCTCTCTTTGTGGCTCTGGGGTAGGGGCTGGCTGTCCTGGTGAGCACCTTGGCCACGGGGCCATGTCATTGCGCAGAGCTGGGGATCGTGCTGGGGTGCTGTGCCATAGGGCTGTGCTGGAGGAAGCCTGTGATGTGTGTTCCTGCTGTGGGGTCATGCCATGGGTCATGCCATGGGCTGTGCCATGGGCTGTGCCGTGGGGCTGTGCTGTGGAGTTGTTCCTCAGGGCAATGCCGTGGGTCTGTGCCGTGGGTCGTGCCATGGGCTGTGTTTTGTGGCCGTGCCGTGGGGCTGTGCCGTCAATTGTGCCGTGAGTTCGTGCTGTGCCTGAGCAGATAGTTGGTCCCAGGGCTGTGTCCTGGCCTCTCTTCCCACATAGCCTTGCAGCACCACCTTCCATTCTTCTGTCCTGCTGTCTTTCCATCCTCTTGTCCCACCATTCTCCCACCCCGCTGTCAGTGCTGCCTCCTGTCCTGCCATCCTCCCATCCCGGTGCCTCCGTGTCCCGGCCCCACCATGGCTGCGCCGAGCAGGGACTGACCCATCTCTTTGCTCTCTCTTCTCTCTCCGTCCGTCTGTCTGTCTGTCTTTCTCTCACAGGTCGTCTGCACTGTCCTTTCATAAAGACAGCTGACAGTGGGCCGCCTTCCTCTTCCTCCTCATCCTCCTCCCCCCCGCGGACCCCCTTCCCCTATATCACCTGCCACCGCACCCCAAATCTCTCCTCTTTCTTTCCATGTAGGTAGCTGGGAGACCCTGGGCATGCAGCTTCGGGGGGGCCGCACCGCGGGCGGCTGCCCCACAGCCCACCCCAGCCCCACAGCACATGGAACCGACAGCAGAGGCAGCGCCGCTCCCATGGGCACCCTACACACCTCAGCTGGGGCTGGCCCCATGGCGGGTGCTGTGCCCCTGGGGTGGGAGGATGCAGCAGGCTGTGCCTGTGGGGCAGCTTGTGCCCGTGGTATGGGAAGGGGACACCAGGCAGGCTGTGTCTGTGGGACAGATGGGGACAGGGCAGAGCTGTACCCATGGGGCACACCGTGCCCATGGGGCAGGTGGGGATGGAGCAGGCTGTGCCCTGGAACACGTAGGACTGTGTCCATAAGGCAGTGCAGGTATGGAAAAGGCTGTGCCCATGAGGCAGAAGGGGCTGGATGGTGCCTGGGGCCGTGTGGGACTGTTCCCCCCCACTAGCCAGGGATGGCAGGGCACAGAGCTGTGCCTGAAGGGGCTGGGCAGTGCCAGGGCCCAGCAGGGTGATGCGTGGGCAAGGTGGGTGTGCACCATGGCATATATGGGGCTGCCTGTGCCTATACCTGGCAGATGTGGGGTCTGTGGCTGCGTGGGGCCAGTGGGCATGCCTGGAAGGGCACATGGTGGTTGTTGCACCCATGGGTGCCTCTGCCCCGCCAGTGCAGGATGCAGTGGCAGGTATGTGGTGACGTGTTTGACAGATCATGGTTGGCGTGGGGCAGGAGCAGGGGCAGTGCTGGGGGGCTGGTCCCCTGCCTGTGTGCGCACCCCCACATCCACCCCCCGTCTCCCTTGTCTGCAGGCAGCCAGTCGGACGCGTACCGCAAGGCCTCGGCAGCGGGCTGCAGCCCCTGCGAGCGCAGCCCTGCCGCCACGCCGCTGGGCACGCCGGGCACCCGCGTGCCGGGTGACGACACACCAGCAGCGCCCAAAGGTGGGCGCAGGGCTGGCACTGCCCGGGCTCATCCCCGCAGCGCAGCCCCTGCTGCAGCCCCGCCACCCTCCCTTGCATGGCATTGTGCATCCGTGCTGTCCTGTTTGCATCCCTCGATAGACCCCTGCCCCGCCGGCTCTGCTGTGTCCCCAGCACATCCCCGCCGTACCCGCTGCTCCGCACCGGTGCATCCCCGCCGTCTCTGCTGATTCCCCCCACCCAGTGCTCCGCCGTCATTGTTGCATCCCTGCTGTCTCCAGTGCATTTGCTAACACCAGTGCATCCCTGCTGTCTCTGCTGTACCCCACCCCTGCATTTCCCATCTCCAGTGCATCCCTGCTATTGCCAGTGCATTCCCTGCGCCAAACATCCCCACCATGTCTGCATCACCCCAGTGCAGCTCCCACTGTCTCTGCTCCATCCCCCAATGCGACTCTGCCCTATCTGCCATCCCCACCAGTGTTGCTGCTTCCTTCCATGCATCCCCACTATCCCACTGCATCCCTAATGCGTCCCAGCCAATTATGCTGCAGTCTCCATGTGTCCCTGCTCTGTCCACATTGGCCCCTTTGCACCCTCTGGTGCATCCCAGCTGTCCTTCCAATGCACCTCCCCCTGTCCCCTCCACATTCCCTGAGCTTCACAGCTACTCCCCCCCACCCAAGTGGGGCCGAGTCACCCCCCAAGGGATCGCCTTGCCCCCCACCATGTTCCCTCCATCCCTGTCTCCTGGTGCATGCCATGGGTCCCCTCCTTGCCCACCCACTCCCACCCATCCCCGCAGCATCTCTCCGCTGCAACCACCCAAAGAAACCCCTCTCCCAAGTGCAGCCCTTTCCCTGGGTGTCCCTGAGCCCTGGATAAGGGGGGGTGCCCCCACTGACTGCTGTGCCCCCCTTGCAGACACCCCCAGCCCCAGCACCCAGGAGGCCGAGCCAGCCACCCCCGAGCAGCACTGGCCCTTCCCGGGGCCGGAGGACAAGGCTGCCGAGCCCCCCGGGGACGAGCCCAGCCCCAGGCCGGTGTGGACAGCAGGGGGTGACATCCTGGGGGACCTGGTGACCCTGGAGCCCGCTGAGCCCTCCCCGCCACCCACGGCCACCGAACCCCAGCCCGGGGGGACCCCCAACCCCGAGAGCCTCATCGACCTGTGGCAGAGCGACGGGGCTGCCCCCCCGGCGGCCTGGCCCCTGCCTGCTGCCCCTGTCCCCGAGGGACCCCCGGCCGCACTGCCCGACGAGGGGCCCCTGCTCAGCCTGGATGAGCTGCCTGAGCCCCCCGCCACCTTCTGCGATGTGGAGCAGGAGGAGGAGGAAGAAGAGGAGGAGGCAGCCGGTGGGGGGGGCCCCCAGCCCGGGGGGCTCGGCTGCCAGAGTGCCCCCCAGGAGGATGTCCCGGGCCGAGAGACCCCCCCCATCACCAACGGGGAGATGGCCCCCAAGGATGGGACGCCGGGTCGTGGGGAGCAGGTGAGCATTGACAGCGGGGAGGTGGTGGTGGGGTGATGGGGTGGATGGGGGGCGTCCTGACCATTGCCCCCACCCCAGGCCAGCGAGGGCTACTTTAGCCAGTCCCAGGAGGAGGAGGTGCCCCCCCCCGAGGAGCCATCGGCCAAAGCCCCCCAGCCTGTCTTCTACAACAAGCCCCCAGGTGAGTGGGGACGGGGAACATGGGGGGATTGTCCATCCCTCTATTGGACATCCCCGCCATGCTGACCCCCCCCACCTTGTCCCCCCAGAGATTGACATCACATGCTGGGACACGGACCCCCTGCCCGAGGAGGAGGAGAGCTTCGGGGGGGGTCTGTAAGCCTGGGCCCCGCTGCCGGCACCCGCAGCTTGCCCCGGCCGGCGTGGGGCATGGTGGGGGGCCACAGCTGGGGGCCTGGACCCCCCCATTACCCCGCTGGGGCCCCACAGGCTGAGGCCTCCGGGTGGGGGCCCCCCCGCTGCACCCCCACCCCAGGGCATCTTTTGCAGCCCCCCCATCCCCTCTCTTTTTTTAAGTTGTCGGTAGGAGCCATGTCAGCCCCCAGCTCCCCATTAGCAGCTCCCCCCCCCTGCTGCCCCAGCGCCCCTTTGGAGGGGGGGGACATGACACACGCTCGCATCCCTTGCCCAGCTATGGGACAGGGTCCTCGTTCTCTTCGTGCCCCCCCCCCCCCCCCCCCCGGGAGTCCCCAGTACTTTGCACGAGTTAAAAGCAAAAAGGAATAATACTAATAATGGATGAATATGGCAATAAAGTGACCTGACCGAGCGAGGCTGCGGCCAGCAGTGCCCCCCCCCCAACCCAAACCCCAGCAGGGAGCTGGTGTGGGGATTTCACACCCCCCCTCTTCTTTCCTTGCTGGGAGCCCCTCCCCCCCCATTCCCTATCCCTTTCCCCATTCCCGGTGACTGTTTTTGGAAAGCACAAGTTCTGTACCGGCGGTGTGCTCATGTCTGTTAATAAATAAAGAGACTCCCATGGGGGCTGCAGCCTGCTGGGGGCGGGTGCAGGGAGGGCTGGGGGGATCCCCTCAACGCCAGGAGCCAAACCCGAGCCACAAACTTTTATTCTCAAACTGTAACAAACGAAAAAGTTAAGAAACAAGAGCAGAGTCCGGGTCCCCGGAGCCCCCGGCCGGGGGGGGGTGCAGCAGGGGCCAGGCGGGGAACCAGCCCCTTCCGCGCCGGCGGCGATGGCCCGCGCCAGGGCGGGTGTCCCCGGGGTGATGGGGGCGACCGAACCCAAATTCCCATGCCCCCTCCTCCTCCAGTGCCGGAGGGGCACCCGCAGTAAGGTCCGGGGGTCCCCCGGTGCCGCTGTTAGACAGCGGTAGTCCTGCCGAAGAGGGGCATGGAGACCGGGAGGTGCCAGGGTCCCGGCTCGTAGGTGTCCCTGCTGCTGAGCTCCGAGTCCGTCCAGCTGGGAAACATGCGAGGGGAGCACTCTGCCTGCAGGTAGAGGTCCGGGCAGGCAGGGCCGGGGCTGGCCGAGCGGGGCAGGTGCAGTGAGGAGCCGTAGCCGGCATCCAGGAAAAGGGGTTTGTAGCTGGGGGGCTGCTCCTGCTTCTCCAGCCGCTCGTGGCTCAGGAATGGGGCGTTGATTTTGCGGTAGAGCCCCCGTGTGTCCATCAGCACCTCGCTGTATGGTGGGGGGGGCTCCGCCATCAGCAGCGCTTCCTCGTAACACGGCGGCTTTGACAGGTCTGACTCTGCAAGGCAAAGCCCCCCCCGGACCCCTGCTGCCATCAGTGCTGCGCCCCGCTTCTCCTGCCGTATCCCCCCCCAACACCAGGGAGAAGCGCACGCTGCGCCGACATCTCCTCCCTGCTCCTTACCGTGCCGGCAGCTCCAGGGCCGGGGGGGAGGGATGTGGTGGGGGTGATGATGGTGGGGCTCGAGGCGCAGGCGGTGGGGAATGGCGATGCCGGGGGGGCTGCCCCCATAACCCTCGTAGTGCAGCGGCTCCAGCTCCAGCGCACGTAGGCTCTGCTCCCGCAGCCGCTCCTCCTGCTGCCGTTTCACCCGCCGCCGCAGGTAGCTGCAGAAGCAGCACAGCAGCACGATGAGGCCCCAGATGAGCCAGAAGCCCGCGAAGCAGGTGAGGAAGGTGTAGGTGCCCTGGGACATCACCATCTTGGCTGCCGGTCCCGGGGGGAGGCCACGGCCTCTCCCTGCCCTCGGGGTGGGGGACGGGATGCTCAGGGCAGCCGCAGGGCCAGGGCAGGACCCGATGCTGCCAGGGCTACCGAGGGCATCTCCCCGGGCCGTGCCCGGCGGCGTCTCCTCCGGCCCGCGGGCGCCCGCCGTCAGGGGTCCGTCCTCGCCATGGAGCCGGGGGGGGCCGGAGCAGGTGGGTCAGGCCTGGGTGCGCTGGGCGGGCGGTGGGGCTGGGGGCCGGCGGGGCGGGCGGCGGGGGGCTGGGGCCGGCGGGGTCCCGCTGCCCATCGCTGGGAGGGGGCCGCTGGGGAGGGGGCCCTGCAACGAGACAGACGCGAGTGTGAGTGTGGCAGGCACGCGGCCGCCCCGTTCCCATGGCGATCGGAGGGGAGCCCTACGTGCACCCCCGCAGTTGCCCCCACGGCGGCAAACCCGCACCCAACCCCAGCTCCCCGCCACGGCGCTGGCGGGCACCCCCGGGAGCGACACGGGTGCTGTGGTCACCACAGCACCGACACCTTCAATGCCAGGGGGTGTCCGCTGGTGTTCCCCGCTCCTGCCCACCCAGTGCACCCCACATCGGCTGCAGAGCCCGGGCAGCTCAGCCCCCTGTGCTGCCAGCAGGGAGCCCCGAGGTGACTGAGGAAGAGAAGGAGGAGGAGGAGGGACGTGCAGAGCTGCCGGCTGCCTGCGGCACGTGGCGCTCGCAGGAACACGTGCACTGCGGCCATCGCTGGCCTCGCGGCCACCAAAGAGGCTCAGAGGATGGTGGCACCTTGACTCGGTGATGCAGGGCAATGGGAACTGTCACCCCTGTCAGGTCACTGCCTTTAGGCAGGGTGACAGTTTGGTTATGTCCAGCCAGGCACCAAACAGCGCATCCCAGGGACTGGGGGGAACATGCACATCGAGTGGGGAGCACCACCCATGGGTGTTCACAGATAGGCATGTAAGCATACGTGAGAATTATGGCATGAGAGAAAACTGCCCTGCCCATGGGGAGATGGGTGAATGCTGAAGTGCTGGTGGCTGAAGGCAGAAGGACCACGGCGGCATCATCGCTTCCACGTGCCTCTGCTTGGCAAAAGGGTCCCTATCAGCTCATGGGGCAAGATCCAGGTGACCATGGCAGGGCCACAGGGTGCCAGGGGGCTGGGGGGGCAGAGGGAAGGGCCAGCGGGGCCAGAGGGCTGAGCCCATCCGGAAGGAGGGATGAGGGAAGGAAGAGGCCGGGAGCTCTGGCCATGCTCTGCGGGCAGTGGTGGACAGCAGAGCCTGCTTCATCACACGGAAGCAGGGACAGGGGCAGTGTCGGGATGTCAGTGCCTGGGGAGGGGGTGCCCCTTTTCTGGGGCTCCCCAAGCTGACATCACTGCCTGGCCAAGGCCAGCTCGGTGCGGGCAGAGCCCGCCGGTGCCGCCAACAACAGGGTTCCCACCGGCAGCCTGGGTGTCCCCGGGGGCACCGTGTGGGAAGGGCCGCGGGTCGAGCACCGGGAGGGCTGCCAGAGGAACACCGGGAATGACGGCGGGGAGGGGAGTACTGACGGCGCCTGGAGACCGGGGGCGTTTGCATCTGGGGGGAGCGGGGCTGCCTGGGCCGTGCGGGCTGCGTGAGGAGCGGGGCCGGGCGGGGAGACACCCACACCGGTGGGGGAAAGGACCGGCTGCCCGGTTGGGAGCAGCCACCGGGCCGCCCGGCTGCCCCCGGCCGCGGCCTGGGCCCCGCTGCCCGCCCGGCGCCTCCGGCCGCAGGGGGACACCCCGGCGGGGACCTCCCCGCTCCCAGCGCCGGGCGCGGCAGCCCCCTCCTCATCCTCCTCCTCCTCCTCTTCCTCCGCCGGAGCGCGCTCCCGGCGGGCACGGACCGGAGCCGCGCGCCCTGCTACGCGCCGCGCGCCTCGGCCCTGGCCGCCGCTTGCCGGTGCCGGTTGTCCCGCGCGCCCCCGCCCCGGCCCCGCTGCCTCCGCGCCGCGCAACAGGCGGAGGCGTCGCGCCCGCTCCCTCCGCGGCTCCCGTTACCGGCGGCGGCGCACGTGGCTCAAGCGGCGGGCGGCGGCTCCATAGGGTGGCGGCGGCGGGAGGGGGAGCGGGGGGAAAGGAAGGGGGCCCGGTGCGCGCCCGATGCGCGGCGCCGCCGCCGCCTCCCGGCGCTGCCTTTGTCTCCGGTGAGCGCTCCCGCGCCGCCGCCGCGCGCCGCCCCGCCCGGGCTCCCGCCCCGCCGCTCCGCCCCGCCCTCGGCTCGGGGAGGGACCCGGGACCCGGCGGACCCCTCGCACCCCCACCCCGGGACCCGCCGGCGAGCGGGGGCTACGGGCACTACCATGGGAATCCCCTTCCTCTCCCCCGGGGAACGGCCGCGGGGTACCGGTGGCGTGAGGGCCGTGGCATCCCCGCGGGTGACCGCGGGAGACCCACAGGGCGGGGATCGGGGATGTCTCCCGGGTGACGGCCCCACGGTCCGGGTGGGGTGATGCTCCTGCTATGCCCCGTGGGGTGATGCTCCACGGGGTGATGCCACGGGCTCCCTCATCCGGTGGCCCTGCACTCGCCCGGGAGGTGGTTGGGGGATGCCGGGGGATGCCAGCCACCCACTGCCAGCCGCAGCCTCCTTGGGTGACAGGCACGGGCTCCCCGGGGGTGGCGGCCAGCGCAGGGACAGTGACAGGGGCAGTTTAGCCGCTCACGAGACCTTGACAGCCCTCACTGCAGCGGGGCTCACGGCTGTGCGGGGCAGGAGGCGAGCCTGGCCCCGAGGACGGCGAGGGACAGCGGTGGCACTGGGTGACACAGGAGCCTGCCCTGGGGGTACCCCGAGCTGTCCCTGCTCCCGGAGTAGACCCCTCACTGGCTTCGTGTCCTTGTGCGCTGGGGCTCCCCCGCCCTTTTGCCATCGGGGCCGTCACCAGCTCTTCTCTGCTGCGCCCAAGGCTGGTGGTCACGGTCCCCATGGGAAACCTCCCCAGGCTCCTTGGGATGGGGCAAAAGAGCCCCGCTCCCCATCCGCTGCACCCTGGGGCACCCCGGTGACAGGGCAGAGCCGTGCCAGAAGCCGGGGGGGGGGGGTGACCGGGTGTGGGTCCCCACGCAGGCTGTGACCCCGCCGCTGCTTCCTCCCCGTGGGCAGGCTGACGGCCGCACACACGGCGCATTGTTCTGCCGGGGCCGGGCCGGAAGGACTTCCTCCATCCCAGCCAGGGGACGACCTGGGGCCGCCGGGCTCCCGCACGGGTAGGCAGAGCGGCTGCGGCAGCCGGCCAAGCCCCGCCACCTCGCTCGGAGCAGGGCCGTGCTGGCCATGACTCCCCCGGCCCCCTTGGCCCCGGCTCCGACTCACCTTGTCGAAACTCGCCTCCTGCGATCGGACCTCAAAGCGTGGCCGCGGCCGCCCGGCAGAGCCGGCTCGACGGTTGTGGGGGTGCCCGAGCAGCACCCTCGGCGGGCAGGGGGCTGCGGCCATGCAGGGGGGCTCGGGTGCTCCCTCGGGGCGGGGGTAACGCAGAGGCGGGGGGCACGGTGGGGCCCTCTGTCATCGTCAGGCCAGGGCGATGGAGGGCGGGGGGGGGCAGGCCTCCGGCCCCGCCAGCGCCGGGGGCCGGGAGCTGCCTTCCCCTTCCCCACGGCGGCGGGGGGAGGCAGGCGGGGGAGCGCTCCCCGAGCCACATGGTGGGCTGGAGGAGGAGCCGTTGCCCAGGCAACAGCTGAGAGCATCCTTCACCCCTGAAAATCGTGTGCCGGCGCTGCTGCCACAGCCCCACGGCTAGAGACTCAGCACCCCGGACCCACAGCGCCCTAGCACCCACTCAGAGCTCCGTCAGGAGCTGCCGTGCCCGTGGGGCACAGCTCCAGACATACACCAGCACCCCCTGACCCACAACCTGCTCTCTACCCTCCCCTCAAGACAGGGATGTGGATGAGGCACACCGCAAATGTTGGGGCTGGGACAGCACTGGGCAGGGGGAGAGCTGGAGACAGGCAGGACCCCCTCCCTGCCCTGCTCAAAGCTGGGGCTGCCCCAGAGCCCAGCCCTTCCCGCACAGCCACGCTGGCGGGGTGACAGACACCACTAACACACTGGTGACCCCAGGACCCGGGTGCCACAGCCCCAGCAGTGCCGGCAGGGCGGCACCACATCCCTGGCTGGTGTGGTGGGAGCAGCAACCCCCAGGCAGCCCCATCCCCCATCCTGCCTGCTCTCCTTCCATGGCTGCAGAAAATTCCTGGATTTTACCCCAAGATGCCCCCTCCGAGTGTGAGAACTCCTCCTCGGCCTGCTCCCATAGCAACTGTTCCCTAGCTACCCAGCCGCACTTGCTATTCTCATCCCTGTGCAGCTGCATGCAGCCCCCCCGCGCTGCGCATGAGGCTGCTGCCACCACCGGCAGCCCCACCACCGGCCCTGGTCCCCAAACCCACCCTGCAGCCACCCCAACCCCCTGTGCATGCTCCCTCTCTGGTGACTGTCATGACCCCAACCCTATTCACACAGTGTTCCCTGTGCTTTCAGGGGCTGACCCTTGGCCTGAGACTGCTCTGTGCTGACACAGGGTCCCCCAGGGCACAGTTCCCCCAAAGCAGGGATGCACTGCACCCAGAGGGGAGCAGGACTCTGTCCCCAGCCCCACAGCACACCAGGACAGCCCAGGAGGGGCTGTGCTAAAGGCAGACAGGGGACCATGGCAGACATGAGCACCCCAATAGTACAAGGCCCAAACCACCTGCCAGAAGCCACAAAGGGCCACCCATGCTTGCCCGGGCTCAGCATCAGCCCTTGTCCTGGAGGACAGGAGACCCAGCAGAGCCCATGGCAACAGGAATAGGGGGGCCTGCTTCTCTCCTTCCAGCCACCAACCCTGGCTGGCCCACACAGGCCCCCCTTGACCGACAGCAACAGAAGGCACAGTCAAACTTAGGCTTAAGAAAAGGTTAAAAATTTAAATACTCTCCAACTTTAGTGCAAGGCAAGCAAATGATACCACAGGTCCAAGTCGGTGCTCAGCCCCCCCGGGGGGCCTTGGCTCAGAATGAGCACGAGGCAGCAGCACACACACGTGCACGCACGCATGTGTACATACACAAGAGACAAGTTATTGCTTGGGGCACAGCTGGGACAAGTGTACAAGGAGACAGGACAAGCAGAATAGAGGTGGGCTGAACCCCACACTGCTCCCCAGGGCCCTAGAGGGCTCCAGCCCCTGCACTCTTGCACTTGGACACACACCAAGCCAGCACAGCAGGCATGCTGGTCCTGGCCCTGCTCACTCTTAGGTCACAGCTCAGAGCATGACCCCAGGAAGGGACATTACCTTTACCACAGCTTCACTCCCTGAGAGCAGGGTCCCTTATGTGTCTGCTCCTTTAACACCACGGTGGGCCTGGAGGGTCCCAGCATGCATAGATGGGTGGCCCAGAGCTGGCAGAACCACACTGGGGCTCAGATCAACCCTTTGGCCCCAGCAGCAGATACCTTCCAGCAGGTACCTGCTGTGGCAGTGGCTGCGTCGCACTGTAGCAGTCTGGAGAGGAGACCACGATCAGCTCTCCGGAGCTGGCAGCATGTGTGAGACGAGGCAGGAGGAAGAGGGCTCCGGCTGACAGGGAAGCAAGGATGAGGCAGTGACGCTCTGCTGCCAGGATGCAATGGTAGACGCTTTGGCACAGCAGTTTCCTGTGCCTCGGGGCTGAGCAACGGACTCCGCTGGAGCCAGGGACACCTCAGCACGGCCAGAAAGGTCCAGGAAAGATGCTTTAGACACCTCAAGGCACAGAAGGCCTCTGCCCAGGATTCCCTGGTAACAAAGGTGGCACCATCACTCCCCGCATAGGAGGACATTTGTGCCTGTGACAGCGTGGGGGCACTGCAGACCCCCACCTATAGGTTAAAAACTGGCATATGTAGATTAAAAACTGTGATATGTACAGACCAACATACATAAATATACACCAAATCTGCAGTGCCGCTCCGGCACCATGGAATGTATGAGCAGAGCTGCTCCAGCCTGGCCTCAGCAAAACCCCTCCCTCCCACCCTGGGTCCAGGAGGGCAGTGGCAGCAGCACAATCCTAAGTGGCAGATTCAGAAGCATCCAGGTCTGCCTCTGGGATGAGGGTTTGCCCACGGGCAGAGGCACCTCAGCCTGAGCTGTGTGCTGCTGCCAGCCTTGGAGCATCCAGTCTTCAAATGCAGGTGTACAGAGCTGTAAACGAATCCACCTTGTGGGGCCGCTGCTACCTTGTCCTTCAGGTTGGGCTGTTCTGCTGGGCAGAGGCAGAGGGGTCCCAGGGGCTGAAGAACAAGCTGTGCTCTACAGCCGGGTGGGCTCTTCCTCACTGTCGCTGCAGTTCCCACAACAGTCCTGAAGTCAGAAGGGCAAGGAGAGGGAGGAGGGAAGAGAGGAGCACAGCAAGCAGAGGGTGAGCATGGTCACACAACCCAGCCTACAGCTGCCCTCTGGCGAGGAAGGGGCAGGTCCCCCTGATCTGCTCATGGGAGAGCTACATGGAAGCAAGGAGCTGGAGGGGAGCCCCCATTTGCAGAGGAACAGTCAAGCTGCATGTGGGGGTTCAGCTCCTGGCAGACAGACTGGTGAGCACGCAGCTGACTAGCTCAGAAGCTGGGAGGAAAATGGGCTCCGTGGACTAGAGCACCCAGCAATACAGCTTAGTGCCAGCACAGACGATTGGCCCTGCTCAGGGCTCAGCCAGCCGCAGAAGCAGCTCAAGTCCTTTTTGCTGGAATAGGAGTCTGAGAACAGGGCAATGCCAAAACTTCACGGTTTCTTAACCCTTCTGCGTCTCCCAGACATCCAAAGAGAGGAGTGAAGGAAACTTCAAACTGCCCCCTGGGAGCAGAGCTCCCAGCAGTGGCTATGCAAGGGCAGCTTTGGCTCAAGCTGAGGGCAAGGCCTCCCCCATGAAGGAAAGCAGGGAAGCGGGATTAGTGGCTATGGGGCAGTTAGAACAACAAGCCGCTTGTGCTCTGCTAGGGGAAGGGGATAGGCACTGAAGGACAACACTCCTCTTTCCCAGATCTTGCCATGTCCACGGGCCACCAGGTATTTCCCTGAGCAGAGCAGCCAGGAGAGACTGCTCACCTCTGGAAAGAGAAAACACGTGGCAAATCACAGCCCAACCCCTGCTACAGGCGGCTGCCCATCTTCCAGCAGGTCCTGCCTGCC